AACTATCAATGCTTGATGTGTAGAGATTTCTCGACTCTCGGCACTCACGACTTTGATTGCCGACTCCGTTTAATCGAATCGCGCAAGTCTTTATGCGCCCGTTTAAGTCCGTATCTTCTCTCCGAGGGCACATTTGCATAGGTACAAATAATAGTATCGCTGCTGCGCATCTTATGTCAGTCTCATATAGCGCGAGTACTTAAGATGAGATATTTGAAATATGCGTAATAATGCAGGAGAAAAGGAGCGGAGATTTGCTCTCAATCACGCACCGATATATGTATACACGTATACAGGGTTGATTAATTGTATATAGGAGCTTTCCTTACATAATTGAAAATTCCATCTACATGAACTCTATGATTTAAAGTAATACAATATATCGTATATATATTACCGTTCTCGTGTCAACAGGCATTTTATATATTCAATAATAAAAATATTTATTTAACATACACATTTTAACAGTATAATAAAAAATATTGTTTAGAGCGTACGAAACAAATAACGTAAACTTTTGTTTTCGAATTACGGAATGCGAGGGAAGATATCTAACATTTGCTGCATAGTGCCTAGAGGCTATCGGCTTCACGCGGAGAAGGGAAACCACGAGTACCACTGCCACTGGATCCTATTTGTGTCAAACAATATAAAGTAGATAGCATATACACATATATACCTACATATGTATGTATGTCTCCGCAGCCTCGGTGCAGTTGCATAAGCGCCGCAGGGGATACGCGTGCGGAAACGTGGGCGCATCGCTGCCGCTCCGTGAAGAGATCACCACCTTGCGCTTTAACAAAATTGAATTTGCGCCCGGGCGTACGTACACAGGATTACACGTTTCGAATTCCAATACGAAACATCGCGAAAAATTGTGTGTTGTCTTTTAACTTTCAAGACAAAAAATCGATCAATCATTTCATCGGAAGCTTCTGTTTCTGGGAGATTTTTTGATACTTTTTTGAAATATGAAAGTAATTTTAGTAATTGACTTATTTTATTTGGGTACTTATCAAGAAAATATAGCCCCAATTTTCTATATTAATTCGATAAAAAAATTGATTAATTATTTCATCGGAAGCTTCTCTTTCTGGAAATCTTTTAATAATTTGTTTGAAATATGAAAGTAATTTTAATAATTAACCTATTTTATCTGGGTACTTATCAAGAAAATATAGCCTCAATTTTCTATTAATTTAAGGTTACAGTTTCTCTTGCAGTACTTAAAAAAATAGGGGATTTTCCGAACTTTTTTTAAAAGAAATTTGACCCAATTAATTTTTAATTTGCATAATGTTGTTTATTGACATTTTAGTGTGCTTTATGATTTTTTTCGAATTAATTTATTAAAATACTGCGTCTGTAATCTGTTTTTTCGTGAGTCGGGTTTTTTTCATTAGCGATCATAATATCTCAGAAACGGATAGTTTAATTGACTTCAAATTTCTAGGAAATATAAAACACAAATTCCTTTTTGGTATGACCTAAATTATTTTATTATCATTTGTATTTTTTTGTTATTGTAAAAAATATGACCAATTTTTGAAAAATTGATATTAATTCGGAATAACATTTTGTTAACTTTTAATATTTCTTTTCGTTTTATTCTAGTTCATGCGATAGCCATATAAGGATTATATCCACTTTAGTTTTTTGCTTTCTATTACCCGGAGACTCTAGTTAGGATGATTGCCACGAAAAGGCAACTTGCGAAAGAACAGATTACAGATGCAGTATTTTAATAAATTAATTTGAAAAGTCATAAAGCACACTAAAATGTCAATAAATAACGTTATGCAAATAAAAAATTGATCGGGTCAACAGTTTTAAAAACCCGGAAAATCCCCTATTTTTTCAGCACTGCAAGAGAAAATATAACCTTAATAAAAGTAAAGTTTATAGAATTTGTAAAAGAAGAATATTGAGTCTACATTATTGTTTATCTTTGTTATTTTACGCATCAATATTATGATTGATGAATAATTTAAGTTTTTAGCTTATTATCTTATGATTAGAAATATGATTAGAAATATTGAGCTTTTTCTCTGCAGAGAATTTTAGAAGAGTTTATTTTTCTCTTTTGATATATATGTTTCTGGTATAAATAAACTATGTGATTACGCTGGCTATTTCCACACAGACGAATTCGTTCGAAACGATGTCGTTGACCGTTGAAAACTCGATTTCGCTATAATTATGACAGGACCAATTCGACGCGCCGCGACAGGAAATGTCAGGAAGGAGGGTGGGAGACCAATATCTCTTCAAGGTATAAATAAAACGAATCTCGGAGAATTGCGCAAATAATTAAAAAGTTCTCTCGAAAATGGGTATGGAAGAGCTTAATGGACGTGTGGCTCAACTAGGCAAGTACCGGTGACGTTTTGACGCGTGCTTTATGGTATAAATCACTAATGGAGCCAGAAACCCGAGCCATCTGCGATAATATAGTAAAGATGTGAAGAACCGTAGACATAGAAATACATTTAGTACTTCTTTCGATATCGTCTTTCCAATAGATTCTTTCTCCCCTTTATTTCCGCGAAATTGGAGAAATGATTTGATTATCACCGATTATTTCAAGTATTTATAATTTTATAAGATGGCTTTTCTTATAATTATCGTATAAAGAAGACAAAAAGATGCAAATAACTCGAAGTTTGAGTAAACTACGGTAAAATCGATCTTTGAAGCTTATCCCTAGCAATATGTTTCCGAGGAAATTGAATTTCGTTCATATTAGCAAGGTCCATGTAAGACGGAAACTGGAACTGCTAGTTACACGTTACACGTGAATTTATTTACATAGTAAAGATGCTATATAGTTTTTTTCTTTTGTAGTAATCTTGCACGATACGTATTGTTAAGCAATAATTTGAATTCATAATTTTGTGCGATTTTTATTGTATATGCTGCCTCTCTCTTTAAATTAGATATTTATATTTAGGTCATATATTATATTTTAAAAATTATATTAATATTACGAAAGAAACATAACTTATTAATGCGCATATGTTTATACCTATACATTCATTTGTTTCGGTTGTCATAATTTTGGCTTGCTTCCAAATCTTGTCATCAAGTAAAGAATTATCGAATTTCCTATGTAAACTTTCTTCTTAAATTTAGATGGAGATCATTTAAATATTTGTGGTTGTAAAGGTAAGCAAATAATAAATTTAATAATTTAATGAATTACGCTTATTTTATTTTTTGTATCAATGAAAATCGCGATAAATAAAATGTGTGTATTTATGCATTTTACTTATATTTTATAATATTATAAATTAGGAGATTCATTAACATATTAGGTTATTATAAAAGATATTTATATTAATATACACGTTTCCAATGTTCTTAATCAAATGAAGAATTGTTTAAATTGAATATTTCAGATATATAGTACACGTTGCATTTACTTAATAAATTATTCACGTGTACGTAGATTGCACGTGATATATCTGAATAAAATATACGTTGATATGATTGCATGATAATAAATGCGGAATGAAATTAATGATCACTTTGTTTCGTTAAACGCAAAGATAAAGAAAAAAATTCTCATGTTCTTTATATATTTATGTGATTAATATTGAGCTGCGCGATGAAAACAAACTACAGATATCGATGATCACTTTTCCTCAGATCGAGATTGACTAATGCTTACGCGATAAGCGTAAATCGCGTAAACAAACAAGGAGCAATTAACAAATGTGCTTTTCGGCGCTCGTTGTCCGAAAACTTTGGCCAAGATTTAAACATTAATTTAGTGACAGTTTAATGTGTCTGCGTCTTTTGGCACGACGCACCAAAAACGACCAATTACTGATGTTAGAACCAGGCTTATGACACTCGGATAAGCTAGCTATATATTATAACGGGGCATTTTATATCGATTCCCTTCCCATCTCCCTCATCCCGGCCTTCTTTCTACTTTTATTACAATAATATATCCGATATATATCCGGAGGTGTAAAGCAACATTTCGCGTTTGAGTGTTGCCGATCGAGAATCTAAAATGAAAAATAAAATCGACATAAATAAATCGACGTGCGAGAATTTATGAAAGCTATAAGACATAAAACCAATTATATAAGCTGTCGAGGAAAATTTAAAGCGGATGGATTATGGTTTTGTTATCAATAGGCAGAGACCCACGCGTCATTAAAACTTCGTAACTGGAACACCTGTCGAATATTCAACGCAGTTTCCGGCGTTCCGTCATCGAGAAGTTATATGGTACTCGTAGTTTCGGTAGATCGACGGAACAGGGTGCATCGTAAAAATATGAAATAACTAAACTTACAATATAGTATATACCGATAGCAGGCAGAGCGGGAGAAATAATGGTTAACATTGAACACGTGCCAGCGAAAGCTGTAAACGTCATTAATACTTTAATAGGATATAAAAATAATAATAATCTGATACACGCGCGCGAGAGAAATGATAAATGAAACGGTATTTGCCTATTTCTATTTTTGTGCGCTGATTTATTATCTAGCATTATACATTCGAATTTATCTGTCTTACGATCTCGCTCTTCCTCCATCGCTAATGAAATTGCAAACGACAAACATGCCATTTGCGCGTTCAAATTGAATTGATAATTTCCTCCGTTCTATAAGACCAGGAAAAAGCGCGAACGTTAACAATTCATTATTTCACTCGATATATAGCGATTCGTTTTTCATGATAAATTTATCCAAACATCCGTCAGCATATATATGATCCATCATATCTCTCTCAAGAAGTTTCGACGAATTTTGGCGTACGCCGTTTCTACAGATCATATGCGGATTCGCTGTTGAGTCCGATGAGCCATTGAGCTTCTTGAGAAATCTTGGAAAAGCTCAGGCTAATTCGGCGGGTCGGATCGCGCGCCAGAAGATCTTTACACGAAAGTGCGACAGACACATCGGGGAACATCCGCTGAGAGACGTGCAAAAGGTGGACCGGCGCGAAGCCGCAAGGAAGAGAGAGGAAGAGAAGAGCCGCGCAGGCGCCGATCCAACACTCGTGGAGAACGCTCGTCGTCCGCGTGGCGCGAGTTAGAACTTGACTTGGTGCTTTTAGTCTTGGCCCGTCCCTTCGTCCATCCCCGTCCTTGCCGGGCGAGAGCCGCCCCCGTGGGGCGAACTGTACTGTCCGAAGGGGAAATATGTGTCTGGACCGATCGGCGGAGGAAGGACGGCGGCGCCGATTCCCATCGATTCCGAACCGGCATATCCTCCGACATTATCGTCGAGTAGCGATCAGGAGAAACCACGCGTCTTTGCTCCCACGTGCCTTCCACGAGTTCGCAGAAGCGCGGTTTCATCAAGAAGTCCCGACCAAGTTTTCCGCAGAATCTCTCCAAGGTCTTGCCTTTCGCAGCGTTATTATAAACAAAAGTTGAAGAAGCTTCAAGAAACCACAAGGAAAATAATCTTTCAATCAGAATATCAAGACAATATCCTGAAAGAGAAACCTGTGTAGAAACTAGTGTAGAGACACTATATTGGTAATCTCAATCGCGACATGTCGCAGGAGATTCTACCCGCTCGAGAAGCACTCTCGATCGAGATGAGCGACGATCGCGTCCCCAAGAAAAGCACTCGCGCTCAGCGTCGATGGCGCATACTGGCCAGGGCGCTGACAGGCTCGCCGGAGCCGATCGGTAGCGAGTCCGACGAGGAAGTGTCGGTGAGACGGTTCACCAGTTTCGGTCTGCTCGAGTGCTCGCCGCTGGTGAACGCGCCTGCTGACGGCGAGTCCACCTGGTGCGAGTACTCGACCCGGCTGGACAACCGGTCCTACGAGGTGCAGATACGTCGAATAAGCAAGTGCTTCACCGCGAGCGAGCTGATCGGCTTCAATAACACCGGGAACGTGTGCGTCTGGCCGTCCGAGGAATGTCTGGCCTACTACTTGCTGAGGAACCGCGGTGGCCTCTGTCGAAATCGCAGCGTCCTCGAACTCGGGGGCGGGATGAGCTGTCTCGCCGGCGTCCTCGCGGCTAAGTATTGCAATCCCAGCGCCGTGACGCTCACGGACGGCAACGTGACCAGCGTCGAGAATGTGCGCTGCATCGTCGCCAGGAATGACATGACGCACCTGGTCGGCTGCGGCGTCGTGCAGTGGGCCCGGGCCGCGAGGGCCCTCAGACAGGCCGCGGTCAACGGCAACCGGGTTAAGGTGAATTTCCATTTTCGAGATATCGCTCCCTCGAATTAGTCTCTCTCGAAACTAAGATTAAAGCGTGATTTAAATAGCGCGAGGCAGGCGAGGATCAATGAGCTGCATTATGAATTATTTTCAGTTTTTTTTTTTTTATCAAAGAGATGCTCGATAGATTAATATAGGTTTCTCGAATTGTATTTTCATGAATTTTGATGGAATTATGTATCTATGATGAATTTATGTATCTATAAAACTTTCTTTTATTCTCTCGATTCTTCGATTCTCTCTCTTCTGATCGTAGAATGTGCGCGATATATATTTTTTTGTTTTTATTATAAATACACATTAATTCAACATCTTTATTTTCTCAATATGAAACGTGTTTCCATCGTTTTTCGATAAGCCGTATTCCATCAGATCGCTGTGAACAGAGGGCCGTGAGCGCGTAATAAAACACATGTGAAAAAAGCATATTCTCAAAGCAACATTGGAGCGATATTAAAGCTTGACAGGAATACTGCAGCAGTGGCACCACAAAGAAGCCGGAAATTAAATATTGAAAATATTAATAAAAAAGCATTTTTTTAGCTTTTACGCGACGTAGGTCTATGCTTATTATAATTTAAATAAAAATAAAAATCCAGACCTGTCGTTAAATAATTAAATGTAAAGAAATTAAAAATGATCGTAAACACCGTAATAAAAATATATTTGCGTATTGAAATTTGTAAAACGCATACTTTATTTTTAATTTTTTAAATGTCGAGTAACATACGTGCGTATTCCAGGAATGTATTTCGTGAAAATGCGAAAAAACATTAAGCGTCCGTATTTGTAGCCGAGTTCCGCGGAACTGCGGATGACATTGGGAATTGAAGGGTCAACTTCGCTAATCGCGGCCGCCAGAATTTAGCGTGGTCGCCGGCTCCACCACGGTCGAATAATGCGTCTCGTAAACTCCCGAGTCCGACGTGATCCGCATCAGTGATGAGAACGAGGACGACGAGAGTTCGCTAACCGTCGGATCGTCGACACGCCCGGTTTCGCGGTTGCAGGTTCTGCGTTACGATCAGTGAGTCATCGCGGTCATCGCGAATCGATGAATGGAAAAATTGAGGCCTTACGTAGAGTCATCGGGAATCCCGATTCTAGGATAAACGATAGATCGATGGAGAACGGTGATCGCCGATCGTGCGACGACGAATAGTATAGAGTCTGTTATTTTCGCGAAGAGATTTTGTCGAGTAAGTCGAGAAATCTTGAAGATACAAAAGGGATTTTGGCGAAATATGAGTTCGAATCTTTTTTAAATTTACGCGACATCCGTGAAATGTATCGTGACACAGGTCTGAATAAACATCGTGTGAACAAAGCATGTTTCGCGAAACACGTGCCATATCACAGGGTCACGTAATGCCGAAGACACGCGCTATTACTGCATATTTCGAAATGTCATGAGAGAGAGATATCATAATATAACTATCAAAGCTTATCTATAGGAAATATCTTTGAAAACAAACACGGAAAAAAAGAACTTATTTCTAATTTATTTAATAATTTGTATTTAATAAAAAGTTTAACTTGTATTTAAATAATAAATAATATTAGAAATTAGCTTTTTATTGAACGACAATCTCTGTATTAAAATATCCAATATAAATTTTTTTAATTGTATTTTTTATATAAGATATATTATGATATTGTTTTAATATTGCTCCAATTTTTAAAATATTTTTATATTATTTATATAATATAAAAAGGAAAGGTAAAAGTGTAGGTAGACAAAAAAAATATATATATATTTTATACACGTGTGGAGCCTTCTCTCTCGTATAAATAAACCCACATGGGAGTGTGGAAATCCCCGTATGATCATTGTGATACCCGGTTCGGATATATAGACGCACCATTCGGACATTTCCGGCTAAACCTCAGTTCCATTTCCGGTAGCCTCCATAATGTCTCTACGTTCTTCCGGTAGCTCGTAATGTTTCGCGTTTTTTTTCATGGGAAATTTCCGCTTGGTCAGAACCGATCGGGATTGTCCATCGTCGAAACAAAATCGAAGATTGTTCGAGCAATTGATCAAGATTAATTGCAAAAACGGATATTCGACTTCACTCGTCCATCTACGCGAAAACTACTTTCGAATTTATCTGAAAAATCCGACGTTGAACGATTGAACGTTTTTTCAACGTATCTGACATTTAGCGATTCTTCTAATTTTTTTCAGTTTCTTTATTAAAGATTATATACGGTTTAATTTGATTCAATTGATTAATTTGATTTTCGTTATTTTATTGGAGAATTTAATTGTTATTGATTAAGTTAAAACTATATAAAACGTATCGCGGATAAGTTTTAAAGTATATATTTTTCAAAAATGTATATCCGTTCTTTTCAAATCATTCTTTACGCGAAAAAGATACATCTTTCATACAATAAATTATTGCGTATCTTTCATAATAAAATAAAATAAAATACGTTATTGTTTTATAATATTTAGATGACTATAATATTGTCAGATTATATAAGAAAGAATAATTCTTATGATTAATTTTTTCGAATAACAATTTCAAAGACATTAGAGGTAATTAAGAAAGAATTATTTCAAAAATCTTGAAAGATTGTTTTAAAATCGTCTTTTATCCGTCGCGCGGAAAACAATTATAAGTTTGAGATTCAAGCCATACATTAGTACAAAAAGTTTCCAATTTCCTACGAGTTGTGCTAAGCTCTTTTCAAAAGTATACGAGGCGAATCTTGTTCTTTAAATTTTATTCGAATTCGAGGGAAGCGATTACTCGCGCTCCGACTTTAATCGGAGATACACACAGCGGCTTGAGTTCCAAGTTCCTGGCAGCTGGACTGAAATGTGGACTCTCGATTTTTCGATATAGACGCGGACGGTCGACGGCGACGAGGACGAGCGACTCCCGTCAAGTTTGTACGACGTGATCCTGAGCGCGGATTGTCTCTTCTTCGACGATGCCCGATTGGACCTGGTGGAGACCATCTACGGCTGGCTGGCCGACGACGGGGTCGCTCTAGTAATGGCGCCCAGACGTGGCACGACATTCCAAAAGTTCGCCGAGGCATCGATCAAACGCGGTTTCATAGCGCGACAGACGGAACGGTACGACGACACGGTGTGGTCGCGGCATCTGGAGCTGCTGGAGAACAGTCCGGAATACTGTCCGGATCTGCACTATCCGGTGCTCCTGGAACTCACGAAGCAGAAGAAGACGCCGCCTGGATGATCGAGTTCGATCGAAGACGACGAGGACGATCAGCCGGACGAGAGTCTCGGCGAGGAATGAAAATATTTTCGCAAGTGTATCTTCGATATACGGATCTTGTTCGCATATACGATAGAATATATATGTCGAGTGAAATAAAGAAGTGAGATACGTTTGCCCATATAATAGGACGTAAAGATGCATATACATATATAAGACTGCCTCCGTGTCGTCCGGCAATGTCAAGGCCGGTTTTTTTTATTAGTCCTCTGATGGAAAACGTTTTGTGCTCGCATGCACTCGCGGATCGATCTTTCTCTGGTACGCATCGTTCCGCATCGTCGCCGTTATCGGAAAAGTTCTGTGAGGAAGATCTTCCGTGCGAGAATCGAGCTTGAACATGCCCGACTTATCCCCTCGTGTTAATTAATCCCTGAGTGTTTGCGGTAGCTACATCCGATATTTTATGGATAAATGCGTAATGGCTAGGAAGCATAAATATATAAAAATTGTATTTGTGCTTTTAACATCTGATTTATTTATTTGCACTTAGTCGTATGTAATTTTATTTAGCAGAGAGATTTATTTTTATTCGTAACGCATTTCGTAATGCGGATGTTTATGATTAAATGATATGGGGTGTGATGTAACGAATTATAATCCTTCGCTTTAAATTAATTCAAAATATTGCGAGGCCGTCAGAAATTATTTTCGTAGCAGGTGAGACTTCTCATCATCATTTTACACGCATACATATATATTGGGAAAATGAGTGCCAAAGTGGTGAATAGAAATGATGAAACTTTGAATGATAGAAACTTTTGAATAATTGAACATTTTTTGATGAGGCAGATAAATTTAAATTTAAGTTAAATTTAATTTATCTTTAAAATATATTTACATCATAACATATATCGGATGATTATATTATATAGAGTAGAACATCTCAATTGGTCAAAGTGACCAAAGATTATATCAGGGATATTAAATCGGTATACATTAATCTTCTAAGATATGTATATAAATTGCAAATTATTTCAAGAGATGTATCATACATCTATTATAGCTTACATCTATTCTTCATCTAAGATTGAAATGTGGCTCTTTATAGAGAAAACTCTTTTTAGATGTACCTGATTTTATATCGAATTGAATAGAAATAGATCGGAAAGACGATAAAGTTTCGGGTTCGATATATATCATTAGAGTCAACATTTATAATACAGTAACGGCAATTTCATCAATCTTTGATTAAGATTCCAATCTTAAATAAATGGTTCGAGATACTTCTCGAGTTCCTCGTTTTTTACAATTGACAGGACCAATCGTGTGAGACCGAATAGTGTTTTAGATACAAATAAAGTGTAATTGATAGATTGTATTATTTTCACAGTGTATTCTCTTAATGCGCTAAAAGATAGCTTTCATATTCTCGCATAAAAAACGTATCAATATTATAATATCAATTAAGAGTTAAAGCTATATTTGGGTCCAAAAATACAGCGAAGTGAAATAAATGATTACCGATTCAGCATTAGAGACGCTGGATCCATACAAACATAAATATAATATTATTACGCTTGTTACTGTAGACACAGATATATAGATCATTATAACCGAAATAAGAGAGTATAAATTTAAAGAAACTTATAAAGAGCGATTCTCTTATAGAAATCTACTTGTCTTGTAGATTGTGTGATAATTTATTTATTTATTTATTTATTAAAAAGTTCTTGTATATGAATAATTTTGTGACAAAATAAGTCTCGAATATTTCTTAAGTATATCGCGCATACTAAACACATTTTACCTGAAAGGACCACTCTGTACGTATACATAGTTAAATCTAGTCAACAGAGAATTGCCAAACTCCCATTCACACGTACCTCCTTACTATGGTCTTAGATGTCCATAAAATCTCTCTCTACTAATGTAAAGACGGAATTATACTTAATAGGAGCAATTAAATTATTATATTACGAAATAAAAAATTAATTTTACGAAGAAAATCGATCGATTTTTTTTTCTAACGTCCGATCGTCTTCTTCCAACAATCCGAGGTTCAAATTGCTAATATAGTCGACATTTTCCAGAGTTTGTTTAATCCACGTTGCTATAGATGGGAAATTTATGGAACCTTCGTAGTCCGTAAGAGAGTCATTTGTGTATATGTGTAGGAAAAAAATCTCTTTAAATAATAAATTATTTTCACGTAAAGCGTCGCGTTTTTTTTCCTCGCCAACCTACGGAGATAATACAATTGTCGCGTTATGCTCGCGTCGCGCATCGATAAAAAAAATACCATTGACAAATCTACGACGACGCGATCATGTCAGAATAAATAATACTGTTTAACGTTCGTCGGAACATCCTGCTTTTCCTTCTGTCTGTCGCGCAATAGCTATATTTGCCCCGTCTCGATTCTGTCTATGTAATCGACTATGTATGTACGTAAGTATCCGTCTTCTCTTCCTCTTTCTGCACATTTGCCAGAACCTGACGCAATCTTCGTCTGGGTCTGTCCGCTTGGTTTCTAGCGTCAAGTTAGATTGAGTCAGGTGTCTCTAAGAAGTTTTCAAAAGGCACGCGTTTTCGATTCATAGACTATGACTTTACGTTGACATTTTACGGTGCGATTTATGTAATGTCCCAGACATCCCAGAATAAAGCAAAATATCCAATAATAGATCGCGCTTTCAAGAGTTACTAATTAGCACAAATATTTTCCATTTAACCAGAGTAAAATATTTAAGTTTTGTTTATTTATATATAAGTGTTCTGCATTATTTTTCGATCTATAATTTAAAAATCTAAAATTAAACTCACACTCACATCAATCAGTTATAATAAAATTTTACATTGACGAAACAAAGTGGAAGCTAATGACGAAAACAAATTTTTTTATTGGATTAAATAACGTAATTTTATAACGCACTCGCACGATTATTGATTTCCTCAATAAATAGAAAGATTTCAATTTGCAGATTTAATTTGATTGTTAGAATCTAATAAAAATGAAAAGCCTGATAAATGCTATTAGCATCTGCGTTTCAGATTGACGAATGATCAAACAAATGTACAAATTGCTTAGAAGCAAAATCTCAAGAATATCTCGACTACAAACAATGTACCGCGTTTGTAGTCAGTTTATTTTATTATCTGCGATATGTTATATGCGTGTGTTTCGTTTCTCAGCAACTACATGTTATTTCTAGCAATGCGCAACATGAAGTTATAAATTCGATCGCCCTAGATTCGACGAAATCAAAATTACGCATGGTTGTCTCATCAAATCATATCTCGTATATTTATTTTCCCGCTTACTTTATATTCGTATTAACAGTTGTCAGACACGAGAAAAGATATCTTCAAACAAGAATCTGTAATCCTCGTGACGACTATATCTATACGTTAAAATCACATATTTTTCAATAGCATGCATCAGATATTACAGCGTGTTATTTCATCTAAAATGTTTCTCGACACAGTTGCCAATTAATTGATAAAACGCATCATTATCGGTAGGTAGTTAGGAGGTGCGAAATTAAAACTCTATTGTCATGAAATACTGATACTCGATCATGACAACACAATGCCTTATATTTATGTGGATGCACATTATTTTTAGGTCCGGACATATCGCTACCCTCGCAACACTCGTAATTATCTAAAATGTGGGAGAGCTATAAAAAGGGAGGACACGCGTCGGCGATTCGTTTATATAATTAGATACTTTTCCCGCCGCGCGGCCTCATTAAAATCAGTGTAACTAAGCGTGCGTGTCCGGGTTGATCGATCGCGGTAAGTAAATTTCCATTGCGTCCACACAGAAGTGGCTTCCACGGCGACGAGAATAGATTTTTAGCCTGGCTGCACGAAATTTTTAAGCACGTAAGTGCACTCAAGTCGCTCAAGTGCTTCGCGTAACGAAGGAAACAGCTGATCGGGATCGAACTTTAAAGAGCTTCTTGTAAGAAGCGTCTCTTCGCCAAAACCTCTAGAATGTATTAATCACACTGTCATCAGCCGACGTTCGCTATATTTAATCCTCATATTTAGCGACAGCGATTTGATCTTTAATTAATACGAAATTTCAATGATAACGTTATTGGTAATTTAGCGCGAAAGAATTCGAGTTAAATTATAAAATTTTAAATATTAAATTTTTCCTAAAGGGAGATTTATATATGATATTCAAATTGTGTGCGGAAAAATAAATCTCGGAATAACTAAATAATTGCTTCTCTTCAAATAATAATCACAGCGTGTGTGCTGTTGGCAAATAATATTAAATTAAAACTAAACTAATAATTTTCATATATAATCACGTAATGTAATCTGTATAAATTAAATTTATTTAAGGAAAGCGTCGACGCGGAATGGTGTTTTAATGAAAAGTACAGTAGTTGGCTCACCTTTACGTGCCGTAACCTCGATTTATTAAATAGCTAATTGTAAGATACCATCAGAAAATTCGAGATTAAGAGGTGTGAAAATATAACGCAAGGATTATTAACGTGCGAAATGGGATATCGCGAGATCTCTATAAGGAGGTCGAAACATCTGTAAGGAAACTGCAATGAGCTCGTTAGGAAGGGTCGTTTTATTGGACACACGCACAACGACAATCGGATTTCTTTCTTTTTTTTTCTTCCTTGCACGACGCGATGCAAATAAAACGAACTCAAGTTCGCAGCCATCGTCGCGTCCTCCGCATAATTTCCAACATAAATTCCCGTCCACGAAACTTTCCCGCTGGTATCTTCGCGCTTGGCACTGCAACGTTAAACAACCGTTTGGTTGTTTTACGGCCGACAGATTCGGCCAAAGTAACGGCCGCCTCTACGGCTTTATATATTTTACGAAGCTCATCAGTATACTGTGATCAACTCGTATCCTGCATTGTACTTTCCTCGTAAAAATAGATTTATCGACGAATCTCCTATATTGTATTTTTCTACTTCCCGAATTTAAGACTACGCTTCGACAAAAGTGGAATTAAAGATTATCTCCGTCTAATTTTAATTCTTTAAATATTTTACTCTGAAGTAAATTTTTTTATTTATGGCTCTTTCTCTCTCATTTATATAATTTAATAATTAAATGTCAATATATATTTCAATAAGTGCTTAGAATTAATTTTTACAAGTGTCACATTATCGCTGCATGTAATTATTTCAAATTAA